GGATCGCACGGACGTCCTGATGTATGCGGACGACACGGCCACGCTGAGCGCTGGAGCCACCGTAGAGCTTGCGGTGGCTCGCGCCCAGAAGTCGGCCGACGCCCTGGCCCGATGGGCAAGGCACTGGAAGATGTCCATCGCCGGACAGAAGACCCAGGCGCTGCTGCTGACTCAGCGGAGCAGGGACGAGCGCGGCGTGCAACTCCTGATGAACGGCACGCAGGTCACCGGAGGCACCAGCCTACATCTTCTAGGGGTGACCTTCGACAGACTTCTACACTTTAAAGACCACTGCGACTCTCTGCGGCGGAAGGTCCAGCCGCGGACGGTACAGCTGTGGAGGATGACCGGCCGGACCTGGGGGCTCCGCGAGGCGCAGCTCAGGACAGTCGCGAACGGGTATGTCCGGAGAGCCCTTGAATACACAGTGGGTGCCTGGCTCTCGGCCGCGTCTCCGTCACACGTTCAGCTGGTGGAGCGTGAGCTGCTGGCCTGGCGGCCGCCCGGGTGGTGACCGGATGCCCACGGTCCACCCCCAGGGATCCTCTGCTGGCCGAGGCAGGCATCCCTTCAGCATGGACCACCAGGAAACGCTGGCCGCGCGAACGCTCTGCCGAGCGCTCGCCCTGCCGGAGGACGACCCTCTACGCCGCGTCGCGGAGGCCGACCCACCCACTCGACTGCGGTCTACCATCGGCTGGCGACAACAGGGGCGGTCGGCGCTGATCGAGGCGGGCGCCGAGGGAGTGACGGTGGAGCCGCGCCTCGAGGTTCCCCTCCTCCCGTGGACAACCTGCCGCCCCATCGCCTTCAATCTGGACGTGGGACCCGGTGGTCGCCGAGCCTCCTCCAACGAGACGCGACGAGAGGCCGCCCGACAGCACCTGGCGGCGCTCCCAGCCCAGGCCACGTGGATTGGTATGACGGCTCCGCGGACGCTGGGGTCAGGCGAGGAGGGAGCGGCGCCATCATCTTTACCGCGTCGGGGGAGACTCTCGAGGTTGAAGTGGCTGCGGGAGGCCTCTGTTCCAGCACCCACGCCGAGCTGTTCGCCCTGAGGGCGGCGCTGGAGCGGGTTCGGGATGAGCCGTCCCTCACCCCGCTGGTGGCGTGCTCTGACTCGCGAGCCGCCCTGAGCCTCCTCAGCGTAGGAGCGGCCGCCCAGACCTCCACTATCGGCGCGGCGATCTGGAGGACGCTGCTGGACATCGCCGAGCGCCGGCAGGTCACTCTGCAGTGGGGCCCTGCTCACTGCAGGCTGGCGGAGAACGAGCGCGCTGACGCCCTGGCCAAGCAAGCGGCCACCCTGCCTCAGGACGCCGTGCCCTCGGACGCTCGATCCCTGACACGGGCAGTTTATCGGACGGCCACACGTCAGTGGCGCGAAAACTGGCCCCACTCCTTTTTTAAGTCTATCTTCGGGAGCACTCTGCCGCTCCCCATCCCCGGAGAGGACCGAGAGGCCGCCATCTCGGTGCACCAGTTGAGGGCGCGCCACTGGGGCCGCTCGCTCCAATACCTGCACCGGATCGGCCGCCACCCCTCCGTGTCATGCCTGCAGTGCCCCGATAAGCGGTGCCCCGCGGCGCTCTGCGCCGTGTGCCGGGAAGAGGCGGCGTGCCGGAGCACGTGTTGCTCCGCTGCCCGGCCCTCGCTGGCGCCCACCTGCGGCTAACTGGCAGCATTTACGTCGACCCGTCGCGGCTGCGGGACGCCAACCTGGTGGCTGCCTTGGAGGCCGGCTACCTTCGCCATAGGGAGCCTCTCGGCTATGGTCCACTGTAAGGAGGTCCCAGGGGGAAGAACAACAACAACAACATACATATATATTTTTGCCGAGGTTAACTTTTTCATTTTCAATAGCTTGGACAGTAACTGAAGAAGAAAATATAGCTAGGTGAAGATCATCGAAGCCCGTATTTCCCCACGCCATTTCCCGTTTTACCCCAGGGGTGGGGCAGAACGGAAAAAGTGCATGACCTGTTTCAAAAAGTTTTTTTAATGCGTTTGTATAGCAGATCAAGTACCTAAATGTACTGGCACTTGATCAGCAAGGCATCTAGGGCTCGCTTAGCATCATGAACAGTAGTTTTGATCCATTCCTTAACCCGCGCACTGACGGAAGGGGGCGGTTGACCGTCCCCCTGAGGTTTTTCGCAAATAGCGCAAAAACCGCGGCGCTACCGCCGCGAAAATTTGTATGACTCATCAATCATCAATTTTACACATGGTGTGCAAGTTTGAACCTCCTACCTTTCAAGGTCAGGTCACCAGGGCCTCGTTTCATCAAGCGAGTTCGTAACTTACGCCGGTTTTTGGCCTTGTATTGCAAGTGCATGTGAAGCGATAAATTTATTTCCCCTTCTCCTTTCTGTTCTTGCTTGCAGTGGCGCGGGAACTTCTTCCAGACTGGGGGGGGGGGGGGCTGAAGCATAATAGAGATCAGCCTAGGGTACCCCCAAATCTAGTTCTCACCGGTTTTAGGCCTAAAAATAGGATTAAAATATAATAGGATTAAAATAGGATTTTTCAGACCTAAAAACGACAATATTTGCAAAAAAGTGAGGTATTCCATATCAGCTGAGTGGCAACCTGGAATCAAGGTTTTAACCCTCGATACCTCCTTTTTTGGCCTAGTTATAGCGAAAAAAAAACTTCAAAATTGATGACGTCAAAATTTTTAACTTAATTTTTAGGCAATTCATTTTAGACCACGTAGTGCAAAACAAAGACCACCATTGAACTTTCCGTGACGAGCTGCATCGAATCGATACCCATTTTATGCAAAAATATCAACTTTGAAATTTGACCCATTTTGACCTGACCTTCGCCAGAACATAGTCTTAACTGACCCTAAAGGCTGCCTGACCCACATAATCGTATTTGGCATATAAAATGGGCCATAAAACATGCATCACATGATATTTTCATATTGTGACCTTCAGTGACCTGACCACTGTGTCCTGACCTGGTATCAGTGACCTCAAATAGCAAATTATGTGTTTGATGAACATTTTCCCATCGATGATTTTCATTGAAATGCATTTTACTCGATTTTACAAATTACAACGCATTTCTTGAAATACATGTAAACGCTTAAAATTCGACATTTGACCTGACCTGTGGCGTCATCGGTTTGACCTAAGTGAATGAAATTGGGTCACAAGGTGGTTCCCTGTTGGGGCTTTCCAACACCGTTTGCCGCTTGTCGCTATGCTGCGTAGTTCTCGAGATCTTAGAGGGGGCTCAATTGCCCCCCCCCCCCCCCAGCAGGGCGAGTTGCTCGGCAGACCCCAACGGGTCACGGGTTAATCTGCCAAATGAGTTGCCGAGCCAGTGAAAGAGGTGGATTTTTCACACATGCTTTCTTCCTTTGTGACCCACAACCCCTAATTTGGGGAAGACCAAACGATTCCTGGCCTTTCGAGGATAAGGCCAGGACCAAACGGTTCCTGGCCTTATGAAAAGTTATGGGGCACGGCCCCAGAGTTGTGGGGCAAGCTTCCTGCACTGCCCCCTCCCCTGGTTCCCGCGCCTATGTATGAATCATAGACCTCTGTATACAGAGGTCTATGTATGAATCTATAAATTTATGTTGGTAGATTTCCGATTTCGATTCCTCCAGCTGGGGGGCTCAAATACATTACGAGCCCCCCCCCCCCAGCCGAAATGTTGGGAGGGGGGCTCAGCCCCCGCTAGCCCCTCCGGTTCCCGCGCCACCGCTTGCCTGCAAGATAAACAAATTCAACGATTCAAACTAACATGATCGCTTTCACATCAATGCACTTGCAATACAAGACCAAAAAGAACCGTAAGTTACGGACTCGCTTTATGAAACGAGGCCCAGGTCACTTCGAATGGCCCAACCTCAAATCACTTTTTTTGCAACTTTGTCACCGTGTCAGAGCTTCACACATTCAAAACTTTCAATGTTATCATTGAAAGTTAAATTAGTTGGTAAGGTTGGGTAAGGTTTGGTGGTATCAGGGCCCTGTTTCACCGGTGATAGCAGCAGGCTACTATCGAATTGCGCGAGCTGACGTAATGTGATGACCTCACACTAATGACGTTTCGTGTAATCCATGAGCTTTTTCATAGCTACGTTTAGAACAGAGTTGCTGTCTCGTTAAAGGGACCCTCCCACCTTAACATTAGATTTGAGTTGAGATAGCCAAAATGGGGTCCCTGGCTCACAATTACCGGTTTCGGCACTCACAACATCGAGAAATGCCTTAAATCGGAAATATTGAATTTCAAAATTGCAGCATTTTGATTCAGAGGGGCTAATGCATAGGAATACCCCTCTGAATGTGTGACGTCATCGCAGATATCTAACGATTTTTAAATGTTTGACTAAAACGTTTTGTAGCACGCGGTGGTACATGCTGCTTTGCACGCAACAAATGCCGCACTTTCAAATAAAGTTGCTATAGGAACAGCGGAGATCCAAAAAAGTAAACAAAAGTAAAAGTCTTATATCTTGAAAACCTGTGAATATTTTTCGATGAAATTTGGTAGATATTCGTTTTTGCTTTTTCTAAACCGAGCGACATCACTTTCATGCCAATTCATTAACTTTTTTGAAGGTGGGAGGGTCCCTTTAAATGCGTTTGATACATTTGCACGGCCGTGAAGATGTTAGCAGCAGTATTTGATGACATCACACAGTTTGACGATGCCATGGTTTGTAGATGTTTCCATGGAAACCCAATTTGACACGCGTGATAGTAGCGTGCTGCTATCACCGGTGCAACAGGGCCCAGTATTATCACAGAAAGTTGTATCAATTATGTCATTATAAAATCCATACTACATAATACATTTTGACCTCCTGATTCCTGAACTCATATCTGATAGGTAATTATTCGGTTATGTTCTGACCAGTCTGATGCTTCCGAATTTTTACATTACAGCAGCACCCTTTTGACATGCTATACTGATTCTCCATGAAAAAAATACATAAAGAACACTTTCAAAACACTTTGATTCGCAACACTTACCGAAATATAGCAAAGAAAAATAAGCGGTATAGCGGTGGGGCAGGCGGCGCGGCAGGCGTGTCACCCAAGGCCATCTATAGACACCACAGAGTATATCAAGACGCATATTTACGTCTGGACAACGAGTTGCGTTGGAGAGGCCGGAAATAGTGGCGATTTCAGGACCGCAAGAATGGACCGTCATTGGAATGATTCTTTTTTAAACCGTGCACTGTTTTCGGCCGGAATTTAATAGTTACTACGAAATATTTTGTAATTACGTTTGCACCAAGAATGAATGCCATCGGAGCTAAATTTTTACTACTTTTGCATTTTGTCAAGAAGCATATAGTGCTGTTATATTGCAGTTTTAGCGCGTTTGTTACAAAATATGAATCGAATAAGCGTCAGTGTAATTCATCAGTGCCAGAAGTTAACTAAGGAGGGGAAGCTGAATTGCTCTTGTCCATCCACTAGAAGTTATTAAATATTTTGCTTTGTGTATTCCAAAAGGAGAGGGAACTTTTTTATTTGTGCCATCAAAATTGAAGGTGGATCATTAACTTTTCAAGGCAGTTTACAAACAAGTATTTGGTCTTTCTCGTATATATGCAGTGGCTGAGAAGAAAGGGTTGATCAATCCTGAAGTTCAGTCATCGTACCTCAACTTGGCAGCAAGATCCCCAAGGACAGAGGATACCTATATTGTATACCTGTCCTGTAAATCAAAGCATTTTTGTGCCTGCAAAGGCTTAAGTTCTTTGTGTGTTCTGAGTGAGGCTATTTGGCCGTTTTTGTGGTATGTTTATGTGGAGATTAAATATAACTGTGACCCTGTGCTTGTTTGTATGCTTACTATGGTTCAACACTCAACAGGGAACAGCACATTCACATAACATACTCTTACCTCACATAACATGAGGTAAGAGTACTCACCTAGCACCTAACTCATATCTGTACCCTGCAGGATCTGTACTTGTTCATGTCTCGAGCATTAACAAAGCACTTAAGTAGCTTAGTAATCATTTCCCACATTTTCTGAGCATCTAACATGACATACAGCAGTGCAGAGCAGCTTCAGAGAAGAAACACTTAAAATGCACAGACTCACACCAGCCACCCAATGAGCCAGTTCCTCAGTTGACTGTTTCCCTGGATGCAGCTTGGCAAGGTGAGCAAACTATTGGCAAGTTGAAGGTTAGCAGGTAAGATTGAGTTAGGGTGAGTACCTACCTATAACTGGGTGCTACTGCTATGCAGGTCTTCGGTAGGCTGCAAATATGTGTGATGATTGAGGTTAGGTCAGCTGTCAGGTTATTCAGGTATGCTCATTGCTCAGGTCACATTTTTATGGACACTTGGCAAATTAAAAAACTAACATAACCTAATCTAAGCTAACCAGACTAAACCTACACAACTGCTGACTATAGGAACTAAGCACCTACCTGCTTGTGCCTACATCTCATACCATGTCAAAGTAGAGTTCCTTGGTGGAAGATTACCCTCAGTACTTTTTATCCCAGCACTGTGAAGAAAACTAATACTTCTAAGCTCTGAGTCACTGCTGGCCATCCACAGGAAGAAACTCTGAGACTGAGAGCTTTGCCATTGTATATTGGACCAACAATCACTATCACGAATGACTATGAACACATTATATGATCACATCGTTGCATGGATTGTCACATTGACAATTTTATAACAATCCTTTTTTCAAGAAATACAGTAATGATTAACATCAAAATCAACATAAAGTGGATTTAGTGATCCAAGCTTTCTCCTCCAGTAGCAATGGAATGATCGCATGTTTCAGTTGCCAGTCACTGAGTACCTGATGCACATTACAATTTGCATAGCTATTAGCATCTGAGCATAGTAAAGCTGCCAAAGTCCATTCATTCTAGATTTTTAACTTGATAGCACTAATTTTTCTTGCTGTTGTAAGTTATCATTCAATATTCATACCAATACATCAATATGCGCAGTGTGCTCATCAGTCAACATTTTCTGGCATGATCCTGCTCAGCGCGCTCTTCAGTATTGTTCCATTCTCCATTCTGCAGTCAAACATCTGCAATATTATAGGTTGATTTCGGCCAATAAGCTCTTTTAATTTTACTTTTTCTTGCTGATATATGAGCCCGTTTAACTTGCGTTTATCAACCAAAATTTCATAACTTCAAGTTCAACTTGATATTGATATTGCTCAGGAGTCAGGACCTCTGTCAGCCTCCTGGATACTTCGGATTGTATTCAGTCACATGCTTCTTAAATATGATATAAGTCAATCTTAAGGGATTGAAAACATCCAACAAAACGACGCACAAAAGTACGGAAACCACCAGATAAACTTAAAAAGCGCCTTGGAACAGAGCCAAGTGGTGCTCCATTTGTTTGTTTACAATTATTGTAGTGGTGATGTATTTTTAGGACTCAGAAGGTCGGCTTATAAAAAATGAAACCTTTTTACAAAAGTTGTAAGACAAGTAATATTTATCTGAAAGAACTAAAATATTCAAAAGCTAAACACTATGAAATACATGAGTCGGAACGAAAAAGTAACCCAAAAATCCAGCCTAATCACCGGCTCCTAAAACTGCAACAAAATCAGCACTTTTCCCCGCAACTCGTTGTCCAGACGTAAATATGCTATCAAGACAGGGTATAGTGGTGAGTGATATCAAGATACCTATAAGGAAAGTAAAGCCCCAGTCACAAATTTGACGCACCTGTGACATTTCCTGACACCCACGTGACTATTGTATTAACTTTTGTGTTTTGCGATGTTTTGACCTTATTTAAAGTACTGAAAGCTCAAAATGTATCTGCTTGTTGTTTAAAGCAGATATTAATAATTATATTTGTAAATTATCGATAAGCTGCTTATACCAGGTCACGTGATTGCTACCAGATTATGTGCTCAGAAAGCATCTTTTCAACTTCGATTTTGAACAATTTTTACCTCCTTTGAGGCCAAATGATGGACGGTTTGAGGCACACGATGAAATGCTGAATCTATTGATGCCAAAATTTGTTCGTTTTTTGCATTTTTAGACTAGTATATCCTGGCTCAAACTTTGACCAATTTGTGTGTAAACCCTATGGTGAAGGGAAAACTTCACGCCCAGCAGGCGCCATTACAGTGCTGCCAAATCGTGTTTGGTGGGGGGTCGGAGTATATAGAACACCACAGGTCTGTAAGAATCATGTAACGGAAGTTGGCACAGATTCAGCACAGATTCAGCACAGCACAGATTCGGTAGGGGGAAAAAAGGCCCCGGTAGAGGGAAACCCTTATGACCCGTTTTTCCCTAGAAATGACGTCACAAACGGGTAAAAAAAACACACCAATCGAAAGCTCTCGTTTACCCAGACCCAGTCCTGCAGAAAAATTTCACTTTTTCCCCATAGGAAAGTTACCTGATACCTGATATTTGGGGATCATTGAAGGCACTAGGATTGCCCGGTGGATCCGTCGTAGAGAGCTCGGGTAGCGTCAACAGTCTTCACTATTGTGGAACGACGAAGGCATAGTTCGTCCAGTGCTTGTCCAGCCGGTTCTTGAAAACATTGGTCGATGGCGAGCAGACGATTTCCTCTGGTAGAGCCTTCCAGTCCGACACAACCCGGGTGGCGAAGTGGTTGCGCCGGACGCGGCTGACCGCTGGCTTCTTGGCGACCTTCAGTCGGTGGCCGCGGGTGCGTGTACTCGGGGCGGGCGAGAAGAAGTCGTCCTTGTCCAGGCCGGAGCGTCCATGCATGATGTTGAATAAGTTTTTACGGGAAAATCAAAATTTGGGGTCAATGGGGGGTCCCCTCCGATTTCGTTCAAAATCGGCACACGGGTACTTCACCACCAGGCGAGAAACTTTCCCCAAAACGGTCCCCGTTGAATTGATGTCCGTGAAGTTGGCGACGTCGCCAGCGACTTTTCCAGCGACGCGCACCGATTTTAGCCAAAACCTCGTCCAATGTCAATTGGACCATGAGGATAACGAAAATCGAACCCATTCACCCCTAAACCTTGACCTTCAAGGTCAAATTCAAGGTCAAAGAACGGGGAACTGAAAAAGTGCCACTAAATATTGTCCGATTTTCAAAATTTTGGCACCAAAATGTAGCGCGTGCAAAGTTCTAGCCGCACATCGAAAACCATTTTCATCAAGATCAAACTTAAAAGTCAAATTCAAGGTCAAAGGACGGGGAACTGAAAAAGTGCCACTAAATATTGTCCGATTTTCAAAATTTTGGCACCAAAATGTAGCGCGTGCAAAGTTCTAGCCGCACATCGAAAACCATTTTCATCAAGGTCAAACGTCAAGGTCAAATTCAAGGTCAAAGGACGGGGAACTTTAAAAATGCTACGTCACCCGCGACTTTTCCACCGACGAGCACCGATTTTAGCTTTCAAAATTTTGGCACCAAAATGTAGCGCGTGCAAAGTTCTAGCCGCACATCGAAAACCATTTTCATCAAGGTCAAACTTCAAGGTCAAATTCAAGGTCAAAGGACGGGGAACTGAAAAGTGCCACTAAATATTGTCCGATTTTCAAAATTTTGGCACCAAAATGTAGCGCGTGCAAAGTTCTAGCCGCACATCGAAAACCATTTTCATCAAGGTCAAACTTCAAGGTCAAATTCAAGGTCAAAGGACGGGGAACTGAAAAAGTGCCACTAAATATTGTACGATTTTCACAATTTTGGCACCAAAATGTAGCGCGTGCAAAGTTCTAGCCGCACATCGAAACCCATTTTCATCAAGGTCAAACTTCAAGGTCAAATTCAAGGTCAAAGGACGGGGAACTGTAAAAGTGCCACTAAATATTGTCCGATCTTCAAAATTTTGGCACCAAAATGTAGCGCGTGCAAAGCTCGAGCCGCACATTGAAAACCATTTTCATCAAGGTCAAACTTCAAGGTCAAATTCAAGGTCAAAGGACGGGGAACTGAAAAAGTGCCACTAAATATTGTCCGATCTTCAAAATTTTGGCACCAAAATGTAGCGCGTGCAAAGTTCTAGCCGCACATCGAAAACCATTTTCATCAAGGTCAAACGTCAAGGTCAAATTCAAGGTCAAAGGACGGGGAACTTTAAAAATGCTACGTCACCCG